ATCCTAATTTTTGGATTTTGTGTGTGTGTGTGAATTCCCAGACGTATGGCAACCCTAATCTAATCATATGGCAACCCTTTATAATGCCAGTGGCCCATCTCACACACCACATCTGATTATAAGACCTTGGGAAAGACCTCTGCCCAAGACCCGGGGCCAATAGTCTGGCCTATGAACAGTGCAGCGCAGGTATGAGCACAGCCTTCCATAGGGATTAAATAGCATAGCTAAGAGCTGGAATACTTGCAGAACCAGGCAAGACAACACCCCCGGATACAAAAATGATTGAAGAATCAGCCCAAACTGAGAGTCAGCATACTGTTTTATTCCATTCATTTGAGTTCTGCGTCTCGTTAAAAAAATCCTTTTCCTCTCTGTTTGTTTGAATTGTTCTGGAAATTGCTAATGTGGCTGCTGGTTTTGCTAGTATTCATTTGCTTTCCTAATCGCTCAAGATCTGCTGATGCTTACCCCCGTTTTGGTGTACCTCTACTTTTTTTATTTATTTTTTGAAAATCCGCCTCACAGATGGTGTTTTATGAGCTCTGTTATTTTGGTTTATGAGTGGGTGTTTAACTTTACTGTGAGCTTGCCAAGGGTGTGATAAGGGCTTTGTCCTCCAGTGTAAACTGTTTGGTTGCCACTTTGCTTTAATGTTAATTACATGTTTCATTGTCACTATTTAAATAGATGGAACGAGTGTGTCTGCTGTGCACTGTTCGATTTCTCAGTAGTTATTAAGAAATAAATGCATTTTTAAAAGACTCAGTTCAGCATGTGTTCTGAAATCTCTGAGAAAGAGAAATGTATTTATTTATTTTTTAAAGTCTGTAACAGACTGTGTCTGAGCTTAAACTCCTGGAAAGAATTCTAAAGAAAGGAAAAGGGAAGTATTTTTAAATGCATTGGTTCTACATTTATAAAGCACCATGCTACCATAAAAATAAGATTATTGGGTTGAGAGGGTACAGAGGGACATGATAGCCTGTGGCATGGATGGAAATGTTTTATTTTTCTTTCTTTGTTTAAACAATTTATATACCACTTAACTACAGTAGTCTTGAAGTGGTTTACAAGGTTCGAATGCAAAAAAGTAAATATCAGTTAAAACTATAATAGCAGACTTCAATTAAAATGCATACTGGAATACAAGAAGCCTTCAGAGCCAGTGTGGTGTAGTGGTTAAAAGCGGTAGTCTCGTAATCTGGGGAACTGGGTTCGCATCTCCGCTCCTCCACATGCAGCTGCTGGGTGACCTTGGGCCACTCACACATCTCTGAAGTCTCTCAGCCTCACTCACCTCACAGAGTGTTTGTTGTGTGGGGGGAGGGGAAAGGAGAATGTTAGCCGCTTTGAGACTCCTTCAGGTAGTGATAAAGCGGGATATCAAATCCAAACTCTTCTCCTTCTTCTTCTTCAGAAGGCACCAGAGGTCCAGTAGCGAAGGGGTCTGTCTCACCTCAACTGATGGGAGTGCCATAAGATTGGGCCCACGATACTAAAAGCACAGCTCTTTGTGGATACGAGTCATGCATCTGAGCTGTGACCCCCTCAAAGACCTCATTGATCAGGCAGCTATATGATGAATTAGGCAGTCCTTGAGGTATCCTGGATCAAAATTGTGTAGAGCCTCATAAATGGATACAAGAACTTTGAAACTGGATCAGTAAACATTTTAAAACAATTTTATTGGAGGTTTTTTTTAACATATTGAGCACTAAAATACAAACACATTTATAAAAAGATAACAAAAAGCAATATATCAAAAAAAGAGAAGAAAGAGAAAGAAAACTGGATCAGTAAACTTTTGAGCAGCTGAGGTATGGAGACTCAAACCAGGACATAGATTTCAGAGTGGATCACAATATTAAATGACAATATAAAAAAACACAAAATACATAATAAAAATAAAAGCAGAAACAAACCAATAACCCCCCTTTGTATCCTATTGACTTTCATATGTTAAGTAAAGGAAGTTCCCTACTCCAAGCAAGAGGAAGGAGCTTGCGGATATAACAGAGACTTGCTGTGACCTTGTTGCTGCAAATGTGGACCACATTTCTATCTTTGGTCCTACATGAGTCACTAAGGAATAAAGAAGATGTGATGTTAGGGGATTCATGACTGCAACTCGCAAAATGATTAAAGAACATGGAGTAATGTCAGACTGCACTGCATGTCTTGGTATTGCATTCTGAATTCAAGATTTAAATAGTCACCACCTTCCTCCCAAGGCTATTCACTCAATGAGTGGCGGCCCATACCAAAATATGGAACGTGCTCCTTCAACAGGTAGTGATGGCCACCAACTTAGATAGCTTTAACAGAAGATCAGACAAAGTCACTGGTGCTATCAGTGGCTACTAGCTATGACGGCTATGTTTTGCCTTCACTGCCAGAGGCAGTATGGCTCTGAATATCAATTGTTGTGACTCACAAGTGGGAAGAGTGCTATAGTACTCAGGTCCTGCTTCCCATCTGTTTGGCCACTGTGAAAACAGAGGGACCTTTGGCCTGATCCAGCCTAACTCTTCTTCTTCCATTCTCCCTATAAGGTGAAAAGCCTCTTCCAATTTTACTATGTGAACACAGCTATAGTTCCCTTCATCAAGCCAAGGACAATGAAGGGAAGATGACAGATCGCTTAGAAAACATACCTTGTTGAATAAGTCAGCTTCCTAGGTTTGAGAAATACAAAAAAGGCATACCTTGCGTTTTGAGAAAGGAAGGAAGCAGCTGAAGAAGTTTTATAGAACTTCTCCCTCCCCCCCCAAGTGGTATGTGTGACATACTTTTGTGACATGCTAGAGTGCCAGCCTGTGACAAATAAGGAGTGTTGTCCTACAAAGCGATTCAAAAATGTGCCTTTTCATGAAGAGTCCCCAAGCTGCATCTAAATCAGAAGCAAAATTTAAAAATTCCTTCCAGTAGCATCTTAGAGAGCAACTAAGATTGGTATTGGTATGAGCTTTCGTGTGCATCCACATATTTCCGTAGAGACATGATGACCAGAGTAGAGTTCTCATCTGATAATTTTTTTTTTATGGGGATTACTTGAGAATGGGTTCAGCAAGTGAATCAGAAATACCTGGGGTATTCAATGTGCCTGCCAGAAGAAGATCCTGAAAATGCAGAATCCCCAGTCATGGGGAGGTTTAGAGACATCTTCAGCAGAGTCCACATAGACTTGCCATTCAGACCTTCCAACTGACTATGCAAAGGTTAGTAGTGGAACTGATAGGGTGGTCCAGTGGTTGTCACCTGCATGCATTCAGCTAAATGACTAAGTAGCGCTACGGCCTTAGAATATGGTCCCCACAAAACCATATTCTATCTATGTTGCCTCTTAGGCTGATAATGCCTGATTAGGACATTGGAAATTTCAGCATTCTGTGTTAATTTCAGGGGTCGTTGCCACCTGCTTTTTCAAGTAGCTCCCTGCTCGGATCATGACACCAACAAATATGTTCATTTATATTTCTTAAAGGGGAAAACCACTAATTTGTTTATTTTTAACCCCTTTAAGCCCTATCATAAGGACCTGTAAACTCCTGTTCCTTGCCAGTCGTCGTAAAAAAATTCTCCATAAACCTATAAACAGAAGAAACGACGCAGATAGCGCAAATATATTCAAACAGATCTAATTTGTGCAACATGTTCTGCTAATGAATCAAACACATCACAAACATACGACTGTTGCTAAGTTGCTGCTTTTCAGCTGTTTACTTTCCAGCAGCCAAACCAATTCACTGTTTCGGCCTTGCAGCTTCACCCATGGTGTAAAAATCTTCCCCATAACCAAAGGAAGAGCACCATGATAATTTCAAATTGTACATAATCAGAGTTCTTAAGGGGATGTTTTACATAACAGTGAGCTTCCCATGAATAATTATTTCATATTAATTAATACACATGCCCTCTTACTCCATCTTCAAAACCTCGGCTTCCATCATTACCTAACCATGACTGGAATACAGAGAAATGGCTTGGCATTGCACCGGATCTTGCAAACCCGATCCCATCTCAAGGATTATGACATGGAAATGAGCTATCCATAAATATTAAAAATTATCTTCTTTGCACAGATGTTCACTCCACTTATCTGCAGAATTTCTGGATCAAATATTCAATATGAATATGTTAGTATCCACCAAAGATTGCTTTTGGCAGGCTATGTGTTGATATCAGCAGGAAATAAATAGGAAAACATTAAAAGGTATAAAACTTTAAAACAATAGCTTAAAGGTGTTTTACAAAGTACAGATGGCATATACTGCTCAAGTGGATGGCTGCTGCAGAATGATAAATAGTGTGTACTGGTGGAACACACGCACGCACGCACGCACACACGCGCACACATACACACAAATATGGCTTGGAAATAATTGATCTTGAGCAATATGTTGTGCATATATATGGCAGAATGAAACAAATGAAAATTGGTATTACAAATAACTAGCTTGAAACAAGCAGTGTGGACTTATTGGCACTTGTGAGCAGCAATTGCATGGAAAGATTTGACCAGAACGTACTGAAATGTAGAGTCCAAATTGTTTAGCATGTACCATTTTGTCCTAACTGCAAGCAATAGATAGACAGAAGCACCACAAGTTGTTTCTAGCTGCAATCCAGTGTCCAGTTATGTGAGAGCAACTCACACTGAGCTCAATAAGACTTTCTTCCAAATCATCATGCACCGAGTTGCACTGTGCATAGTGTCTACATTTCAACTGGCATCTCAGATGCTGCAGGACTGGGGGCATTGTTCCCACCCCAAGAGGCTGACAAGGCATCAGGATACGTGTGTGCATGAAGTGGGGGTGGAGTGAGACCTGGGTATATAAGCTAATGCTTCGGTTTCTCTGAAGCATTGTAGGTACTTTATGTTCATGTTACAGCATAGTGGGATTGTTGTGTCCAGCATTATGACTGGATAGAGATACTTGAGTTGGTTGGTTGGTTGCCTTCTCTAACCTGGGAATTAGTGACTGGGGAAACTGGCTTTGGTGGTTAGCTCAGCCGGTAGAGCATGAGACTCCTAATCTCAAGGTTGTGAGTTCAAGCCCCACCTTGGACAAAAGATTCCTGCGTTGCAAGGGGTTGGAGTAGATGAGTCTTGTGGTCCCTTCCAGCTCTATGAGTCTATGATCTATGAAGCACTTCATGTAGGTTTGGTAATGGTTGCTAGTGGGACAGTGTGAAAAGCAGTAAGACCAGATTTGTTGGGGAGGACCCTGAGGCGGGGACATTTTAATGCTTAGTTGTGATGCCAATTTTTGTACATATGTTGAGTTGTGTCTCATGTTCCCTGTCCCCATGAATATTTTTCTGACGTGGGTTGATGACTAACATTAGTTCTGTTGGAAAATAAAAAATGAAAAGACTGTTCACATGATTTCAGTGGTCTAAGGCCTGGTCCACACATGTAGCAAATGAGGTGGCAGAATCCTGAATGCACTGAACCACTTGGAACTTGGAGGTGGGAGATTTCATTTTCAAATGATCTCATCCTGCTGCATGGGTAGACCCTCATGGTATAATACGATCAAAAAAGTTTTGGGATTATGAAAATTATCTATTAGTTTTACCATGTAGTCCAGTCATGACAGCATTCATTACCTTGTTCTTGAAGCTGATGTAATCCAGCCCAGGAGAGTGAGTATAGGGGGGAAAAACTTACAGCATGAGGCACTTTATTGAAGCTGAAGGGATTGTCATAGACCCACTACATTGCATATCACAGCGCCAGTGTGTAAAAGAACAAAAAAACTAAATAGATGGATGGTGTGCTCCGTGAAAAGAACTGCTGTTTTAATTTGTGTGAGATTGCTGCTGGTGGTCAGTGTAGACATTACTGAATTAGATGCACCAATGTCTGATTTGGTATAAGGCAACTTGCTAGGTTCCTCTTTGGCAAGTTAGAGTGCTGGACTGGGACATGGGAGACCAGGGTTCAAATCCCCAGTCAGCCATGTAGCTCACTGAGAGACCTTGGACCTGTCACAGTTGGTAAAGTAAGTTGTCCTTGAGCTTACAGGATTCCTGTGAAGATGAAAGGAGGAAAACCATATATTCTGCCTTGAGCTCAACAGAGGAAAGGTGGGCTAGAAATGTAAAGAAGAGATAAAATAATAAAATGAATGTGCTTCTTCCCCCAAACACCTTGCTGCTGGCTACTGCAGCTGTTCTTTCCATACAGCCTTGTACAACATAGGGCCCCAATGTATCTTACAGTATTGGAAGCAAGATAAGGCAGTAGGCACAATCCACAGGCTAAAAATATGTGTATATTCTATGCAACTAATATTCCACATGCCACAAAAATGGAAGATTGTTAAACCCGCCATCTTCACAGTAAGAATCACATTGTCTGTTGTTTGATATATGCAACATGTCCTTTAATATAACCCACAAAGTCTTCCAACTTTATCTGAACCTTTTAGTAATGCAATCTTCATAGCTGATCCATGGCACAGGATGACACGCTCTTGCACCTTTCCGTGTGTGATCCAATGTAGATGCACTTAGGTTGTTCAAAGGTCAATCCATTACATTATGCATAGTTTTTTACTTACACTAAGTTATGGATTATGCATTTACTACATCTATTGGAGGCCTTCATTATTTTTTTGCTGGTTACAGAAAGGAGATTGTTTCTGTTTCTTGGTGTGAAGAACTACAAAAGGAAGAACAAGCAGATGGTACAGGCCCGTAACATGCCTTCATTTTCCTTTAATCTCCCATTGCAGTGGTGTGTGTCATATCTAATAGAACTTCGGTCTTAAGGCAAATAGGCTGCAACAAAAGTACTTCTGTTGGGAAGAATCAATCTCCCCATGAGATTGTATTTGCTGGGATTATACAGAGCAAATAACGTCCAGCTCTTTCCTTTCAGCAGTGTGGGGAGTGGAGCAGCAGCAGTGCCCTCACAGTGATAATGCTCTGGTGATAGGAATGGAACTGGTGTGGGGCAAAGTCTGGGGAGCTCAAGGTTCAGGCTGGTGATAGCCAGGAGCTCCATCTCTATCCCTGCGAATGGCAGCAACCCCATTCTCAGGATATAACCTCTGCTTTGAAATAAGGGCCATTGATTTCTGAGGGATTTACCATGTGCCAGGCGACAGAGGAACCAACCCCCCACGGCAGGTTGCCAGGAACGGACAAGACAAGGAAAAGTCCTTACCCTCTGCTTTTTATTCAATATTTGCAGAGAGAGGCTTGGGAATGCAGCCTCTTGGAATAATGGCATTGTCCTGAGTGAATCTCCACCCCCTCACTTCCTCATGAGTCATTGCTACAGGTGCTGAAAAGTGCCCTCTGCCTTTGAGCTCTTTGCTCTCCTACTTTCAAGGCTCACCATGTTCTGGGAGAGAGTAGGTATGGAATTCTTTCTAAAGACACTGAGTCCATCAGCTGTCACCCTCCTGGTGCTTCTTCTTCTTCCTCCTCCTCCTCCTCTCCCATTATTTCCCAGCTTTTCCCCTCATCTGAATCTGAGCTATGACCTCCCTCAAACCCCTGTTGTACCTAATTCTGAACTGTCTTCTTCTTCTCTGGAAGGGTCAGACTGAGGAGGTGGTCTCCACCATTCCTCCTCTGCCCAGTACCTGACACCATGTATTTTTTTTATTATTATTATTCATATGGGGAGAGAGGCTGGGAGAGTTAAAGCAATGTAAGAACATCCATGCTGGTGCCCTATTCCTCTTCCCATATATGCTTCCTTACATGCTAGTTTGGGACATGACAGAGATTTACACTATTCTTCCTTCAGTAGTGCCAGGAAAAAGCAATATAAGGCATAGCTTGCATTCATTCGTTCCTCAGGGTGGCCTAAGACAAGGAAGAAAATAAAAAATCTCCTGACTTCCCTCATCTCATCAAGTAATTCCATTCAATATTATTATTATGGAAAACATAAGAGTTATTGTGAATGACAGAAAATATAAGTGTTTCCATGCTTTATTTATGATCCCATTTCACTGGTGCAGGAAAGTTGTCATTTCTGCTCAACATACATCAAAACGGTAGAAGCTGAATAATGTTCCCATGTTTCCTAATGGGGGGGAATCTTGTTGAGTAATGAAACAGAGGACATTGTGGAGTCGCAGAGCGGGACGGGGGGAAGGAATGAACAGGTATCCTTGTTATCTGGTATTACTGTCCATCTTTGAAGACAGCTTGAGAGTACCTGAGTGTTTTGAAATTGTAATTTCTGAAAGCTGATTTTCTTTTCTTTTTTTTAGGCTTTCTAGGCTGGGTGGGTGGAACAGATGCGCTAAGTGACGTGCTCTGTCATCATAGGATATTTTATTCCTGCAGCATCTTCACATATGAGGCACATGTACACAAATACAAGAGACTGTCGTATGCAATATTAACATTTTATTGATATTTTTTTTAAAAAAAAAGACAGTGTAGTTATAATGGGTGGGACAATGATTGTCTCAACATAGTGTGAATTCAGCACTGAGTAAAAGAAAACAACCATGGGAAATCACACACTGTAGGAGGGTGGCTAACTTTAAAAACTGGTGGTAGGCATGGCTATTTAAAAAAAAATAAAGTAAAAAATCACCATCTCCTGTGCTGATGGTGGTAGGAACACAGCTCTGCACCTATTGGCCCAGCAGGTGCTATTTCCTTAAATGAACCAGAAGTGGTTCAGTTCTCAGGCATGTAGTTGGGCAGTGCTTGGATTGAACTAGTTCTATTTAATGATGGCCACTGAATTTGTTTTTTAAAAAAACAAACAAACAAAAACCCGCTAATTGACACCTGAAAACAGTTTCTATAATTGACTGGCAAACTGAAACCGAATTAAATTCATTTGGTATAGAAGTTTGACTGATTTCTAGTTCATCGTCACATTCATTTTCTTGCATGTGTTTTGTACTCTTCGAACTCTTTGGGCCTTTAAGCTTAACGATCAAAATTGTTGGGAGAAATACATTAAACAACGCACATTACACTTGGTGTGTGTTTTGAAGAGGGGGGGTTAGTCATATTATGTATATTGTATACTTCAGCAGAGCAGCATGCAACATTCTGAATGCTGGAAAAAAAACTTGCTGAGGATCATTTGGATGAACTGTGAATTGAATGTGAACCAAACTAGTTTGTTCTGGAAAGAACTGAACCAAATGTGAACTGGAATGAGTTACTTTTTGAACATGATGAACTTTAATTTGAACTTGTTCCTTTTTAAGGTCCTTGGTGTGTGTGTGTGTGTGTGTGTGTGTGTGTGTGTGATGGTCATATTACTATTTCCATGTGAAAGCCCGGCTCATTCAGGCTGGATTGTTGATGTATCTGCAGATCTATTTAAAGGGCACCTAATACTTTCCTCACTAACAGGGATGGCTAGTATTTGGCCCTCCAGAAGATGCTAGACTGCAACTCTCATCATTCCTGACCAGTGGCCATGCTGGCTGGGCCAGATGGGAGCTGAAGTCCAGCAACGGGTTGTGGACTCTCCTTCTTTCGAGGTTTTTAAGCAGAGCTTGGATGGCCATCTGTCATGGATGCTTTAGCTGAAATTCCTGCATTGCAGGGGGGTGGACTAAAAGACCCTACAATTCTATGATTCTATGAACAACTGGCCACAGGCTCCCCACCTCTGATTTAAAAGATGGAGATTCTCAAAAGAGGCACTGCTTTTCTCATCCCAGCATAACAAGTTGCCACTGCAGCCAAGCTTCTCCTAGTTCTGCTTTTCAGGACAGGCTAACAGTGGCTTTATACAGCAAGGTACAGGTGTGGGACTTCTGGTCTATGGACCTAATTAGGCACACCACAGGTCCCTATTTGGCCTATGAGGCCAACCCTCAAACCATTGCCACCTCATATGTGACATCAGGTGAATAATGTGCGGATTAATTGGCAACAGATCCCACTGGGAGGAGCTCCCTAAGGCAGGCGAGGTTTTTGCCTCCCTGTCAAAGTTGTACCATTGGGGTGGGGGATTTCCCCAACCCTGTGGCAAAGTAACAAACCATCTCTCCTCAGGGGGCAACTCGCCATATCAACTTACAACTTAGTTCATTGATCTAGAAGATGTTCAGGTTCAAAATAATT